TTATGGAACATTCAAATTAACCATAATCATCAATAGAGTTTCAGTCGGCTATTTAAATACATAAACATAAGATACTGTACAAAACCATCATAAACTAGGGCGGAGCTTACCTGCCATTTTTGCCAATTTTATATAAACAATTATCATCTTGGTTGTGTCTTATATGAACAATCTATTAACCCAAATTGCAAATTATTGTTTGAGAAACAAATTAATTCTTATTGTCTGTGACTCCTCTGAGATTGCCTTTCCCTTTCAGGCAAAGAAAGTCTAGCTTTAAACAAGTGCACAAGTCGTGTTTTACCTCGATTTCCTACTGACTTGTAATTACGGCAATCAGTGGTGATCCAGTTGGAAAAGAACATGTAAAAAACCTATCATAAACCCACATCCACCATACTGGGATATAACATGTTCTAACGAGACATACTTTTTTGTATTATTCTTTCTGTGGCAATACTATTAGTTCAGACTGATTTCTGTTGCTTATGATGAATGTGATGATAAAACGGGTCATGGGTCTGGATCCCAGCTACAAAACAGCACCGCTATTGTGAGAGGAACTATTCTTACTGGAAACCTGGCATATCTAAACTTCCTGATAGAGGTCATATTCCAGAGTGAAAGGAAACTAATTAAAAACAACAAAGACCCCATGGTCCTCTTATATGTCTAACAGAGGAGTCAAAAAAACATCTAAGAAATCCTTGCAAAGAGCTTCAGGAATACCTATAAATAGCATGCACAGTTTTTGTCCTTCATATCAAAATCAATGCACTCAACTGCAATGGCCTCTAGGCACACTTATCGTGGAGCACTCGAATGATGAGGAGAAAAAGCATGTTGAAACATGTTTAAAGCTAGCTATAAAACACTTAGAGATGCCAGAGAAAATGAGAAGAGAAAAGTCTGGTCAGATAAAGCCAAACCTGAATACTTCAATGTTATCAAGGGAGAAAGACTCAGCACAAAAAATACAACTTCAAAATTAAAGTTTGCAAGCTATCCTATAAGAAATGTAACTTGAAAACCACTTTAGCAAATTGTGTATAACTGCATGGGAAGATGATGATCTGCGAAAAATGTGAGTGTATCCAGAGGCTTGGTGATTGTGGTGAGGAATGTAGGTTTGTAATGATCCCTTTGTTCGTTTTTTCAGAGGGAGATTGTGACAGCAGAGTGTGTGGAAAGGTGCTTGGTGTTAGCAGAGTATGTAGGAGCTCAGAAGGTGGATCCACAGGAACAGCAGGAGAATTGGTTATGGATTATCAAAATTAGTTCTTCATAGAGTTCTGAGTGATTTAAGGCAGAGAATTGAGGTTTTTGGGACAAAATCAGTGACTGAGGATGAGGATGATTGCAAAGAAGAATACATGGAGTTAAATCAGTGGAGATAGAAAGACAACAAGCAAAGTAGCTGACCTAATTTACCCAACTGTGAGTAGTACAGATGTGGGATATGCCTCAAAAGAACCCACTCCTTATTTGGTGTGGTAACACAACTCTTGTGTGAATTTTACGTCAATGATCCATTAGAAATATTTGAACTGTGAATTACGGCACATTCAATACTAATTTTAGCCACTATATATGTCATTCTGCTCTGACGTCACTGACTTAACATAAAGCAGGAAGTCCAAATAAAACAAAATAATTTATTTGAATAAAATGAAAGAAAAGCCAGCCTATGGAGAGCCGGGTGTTTACAGGAACACTTTGATCACAACTGACAATGAAAACAAGACCTGACATGACAGCCCTTACAATGCAAACTAGAACTAGATCTGACTGGGAACACCTTAAGCCAAGAACAACACACCCGAAGCTGGTTCAGAGCAGGTTTTATAACAATCACCAAAGTCTTCTGTTAAGACCTTTTGTTGTTTTTTTTTTGGGATGAATCCGTAACAAGATTTTTCTAGTATAGTGAATATTGCAGATGCTAATAGGAAGTGTTGGTGTTAGCAGAGTATGGAGGGGTTTCAACACAATTCAAACATCCTTATTTCCATGTTTAACCATGTTTGGTTCAACATGAGACAGGATCCACTCCAACTGTGTACTCCTGGCATAGGGGCTGCATCTTCACTTGATATTTTGAGATAGTTTTGGCAGACACTGAACAACCCCCATGTGTGCAGCTAACTGAAACATGGTCTATCAGGGCATCCGCATGACAAATTGTCTGAAATTACAGCATTGTTTTCCAAATAATTTGCTAAACGCCTCAGTTCAGCTCAGTGAAAATCTCATGTAACTGTACAATCTTTGGTGTGACTTTGGCCAGCCTAGGAAATTTATAAATTAGATTAGATTAGATTAGATGAGCTTTATTGATCTCACAGCGGAGAAATTCACTTGTCTCATATTGGCATAGAAGTCAAAGAAGGTGCAAACAAGGAGGAAAAAGGTGCATTAAGAATAAACAATAAACAATATATATACAGTATATCCAGGTATATACAGTATATCAAGATAAATAAGGATTAAGGTGCAAGTGTACATGTATCGGACACAATGAAAAACAAAATAAAAATAAGAAATTAAGAAATAAGAAATAAAAATATGTACAATCCGGATGGCTTATATACAGGTGGATTTACTTTTACGTTAAAGTGTAGTACTGTAGGTAAGGAGCAACGGTGAGGTAGTGGTATGACTATTCTATTCACATATATTGCACATTCAGCATATTGCATATTGCACAGTCAATAAATAAAAAAAACTATAATATACTGTAGCTGCACAGTGGTTTTTACAGGAGTTATTGTGGTTATAGTGCATTATTATGTATGTCTAATTTTGATTTATATGCTGTATTTTTTTGCATTGAAAAATACTTTACCTGATTGTGAACAGTTTCAAACACTGTGATGGTGATAACACACATTTCCTAATAAAAATCATGAAGAGATACCTGTTTTGGAGGAAACCAGCCACTTCGGAGTTCAGATTCAGTCCAAGGCTCTCCACCTTGAGTAGGGTGGTGTTTTAATTCTATCCTTTTTATTCATGTGGGAGGTGTCTCCATTAATGCAAAAAAAGGAAAAAGCATTTTAACTTTTAACAGAATGTATTCTAATTATGTATAACAGAACATTTGATAATGAGCAAATCATACAGAGAAACACCTCCTGTACCTCAAGCTTGGTCCTACTCCATAAGCAGAATGAAAGAGCCCCCTAACTTAGCTTTTACTCCTATATTTCCTAAAGTTACACCTCCCTAAACTCCATCAGATGCACCCAGAGTTTCTTGCATCCACCTTCAGACCAGAGCATGTCCATACAGTATAAGGTTATAGAAATACACAGATCAGCTTGCATCTAACAGAGTACACAAATAACATTCCTGCATCTATCTCCAACAATGGCCCCTGTTGATGTGGTCAATAAAACCACCTCATAATTCCAGGATTTACATAAGCTTTGTTACGTCTTTGTTCATTCTTTTAACTCTTGCTTGTCTTCCTTTGTTTTGACCCATGTAGGCTGTTCTGCTGTAGATGCATTGACAGCAAGTGGACCTTCCTCTTTGTTGACCCTCATGCTTCTCTGTTTACAAGATACGCAGAGTACGTACTTTGTGTCTAATTGGAAACTGGAAGCTCTACAGAGCGAACCCCATTGGCAGAAAACCATCACATCCATGTTAGAAGCCTACATTAAAAATGTCTGGAGTCTTGCATATGTGCTATCACTGAGTAATCTATTTTAATAAAATTACCTTATCTGCCACAAAGTATGGTTCACGCACTTTGTAAATACATTTTTAGCTAAAATTACTTTGTAGTATGTCCATACCAACTTTACTCATTTGTTCATTCTTCCTATTACCAGTCAGGTGCCAAACACAATGGCATTTTTATATTTGACAATGTAGGGTTTATCACTTAAACTCAAATATTGAGAAATTATTCTACAAAATGGTAGCTGATCTAAACAACAACAACAGCAACAAATTTTCACCTGCTTATTAATGGTGAGCAGAAAGTGGTTGTTTGCACAAACATTTGCATAGTTTTTAATGTTTGTCTTTTCTACTGACAGTATAATGTTTCAGTATAATGTCTAAAACCGTGTGAAGCCTAAGAAGGTAAAACTCCCCCCCACCACACACACACACACACACACACACACACACACACACACACACACACACACACACACACACACACACACACACACACACACACACACACGTTCTGCCATCATTGTGAGGACAATTTGTTGACTCCCATTAACTTCCACTGATTTTCAGTCATTTTCAACCCTTTCTATGCCCTAACCCTAAAACTAAACCTAAGCATTACCAATGCATACCTCACCCTCACCCTAACCAATTGACACCTTAGCCCTAAACCTAACAATTAGCAAAATAGCATGTTAGGACTGGTAAAATGTCCTCACTTTGCAACAGCTGGTCCTCAATTTGATGGTGAAATTGGAAAAATGGTCCTCACTCTGAGGGCTAGACAGGTACACACACACAGACACTATACCAAAGTGTCTTAGAATAGAAACAATCTTTGTATCTTATATTACATGATCTGAAACCAAACCCGGATCAGTCCCACGCCTTTTAAATACGGTCACATCCATTCAATTGCTGTATAAAAGAAATAACACCAAGTTCTGCTCTTGCCATACACTTCTACTCAAATTGTGCAAACATGCGAGCATAAGTGACAATGAATCTTCTGTTCCCAAAGAACATCTTGTAGACAGGAAAAGCTGGGACCAAACAATCCAAACTGCAGATGGCTGCAGATCAAAAACTTTTTGCAAAATGAAAAAACAAAAGGCAGTAACATTTCTCAATGCAATCCTTTTAGGTGGTTGCCCAGAAAATTAGATGTGAAGGGTAAGGAACATGCAGACCCTCTTTTCTGAGCTTTTTTGTGTGTGTGTGTGTGTGTTCTCACAATGTGGACAAAGGGAGGAAATCTGTGGTTTGATCCAGTCAGTTTGGACGCCTCTGAGGGAGGAGAGAAAGGAGGAGACTGGAGGCCTGAGCCGAATCTGACGTCAGGATCCATCTGCAAAGATAAGCCGCGGGGCTCATAAGCGTCGTTAGACCTATTTAAGGGTGGCTTCAGCCACCCTTTCTTTGGCATTAGCCACCCTATAATTATTTTGCGATTTTAAAAAATATATATTTTTTTTCTGTATTTATTTTTTCCTCATATTTTCCCAAAACAAATGCAGTAAAGCACCGAATAAAAGCCATAAAGAAGACAAGTTAATCTGAACAATCATAGGCGTAACTTCCTTAAGGACTGGTGTGGACATGTCCCCACCAATATTTTGTACACGTATTTTGCTTTCGGTGCTGTGTATATCCGATTAAAACCCCATTCATGCCGCTCCTCAGAAAGAAAATTAAAAAAGTTCTCCCCGCTGCTCACCGTCCACAAACCCCGACAAAAACTCAGAAAAAAGAATCTGTTGCCTCTCGCTTTCTCCCCATCACCCCCCTCCAACCTCTCCCCATAACATTTGAATTGAAGATATCCGCGGGTGACGGGTCGGGTTCGGTAGTCATCCTAACGGGTTCGGGCGGGTGCGGGTTGGTAAAACTCGACCCATGCAGGTCTCTAAGCTACACTACATTCAGTATCGTTGCCATAGAAACAGACAACAGCGCCAATATATCAGAATTATACTAAAACACACGCAAATAATTTCCCACATAAAAAACAGGACTTTCAGTCCATTACAGTTTTCCGTTTTTAGAGGGTTGTTTACTTTGCGTTTATTAAGTGATGGCTGTGGTATATTAGCTTTCACTGCTATAAGCTTTCGCAGCAGTGATTGATTAATTTAAACACCTGCTCTACTGATGGTCTATCGGAGTTGGTGTTTAGGTTGAACATAAAGAACACCTTTTATTTGAAGCTTCTTGAAGCTACTGTTTTAATCCCGGCTTTACTTAAAACTTTTTCCTGACTTTGATAGTGTTGCCATTCAGTAGCAAGCACTGCGCCCCTTTTTCTTTTATATGTACACGTACATTTAAGATTTAGCGTGTTAAGTTGACAACTCATGAGCAAGCTGCTTTTTGCAATCTAGCAGGAAGGTAAGGATAGGATCTTGCAGGTGTGACGTCACTCTGCAGGGGGTCCAAAGATAAAAGCTTTAAACAATTTTGGCATTGGAATTTCAGATTTAAGGGAGTTAGAAAGTTCACTTAGTAAAAGTGCAAATAATAAATCTGATTACCGATTACTTTTAAGCTGGTTGAACATACTGTGACAGACTGGTGACCTGTCCAGGGTGATCCCACCTCTCACCCAGAACGTGGCTAGAGATATGCACCAGCACCTCCTGATCCCACTGAGGGATAAGGTTAAAGAAAATGGATGGTTTAACATAGTCCGCTCTCCCAGATTCTATCAAATCAGTATTGATACCCTCAGGGGCGGATTTAGGAAATTTGGGGCCCTAGGCAAAGACAGGCAGGGGGCCCCCTGAGAAGTAAACCCATAAAACAGACCCATTCTACAGATAGAGAAATGTTAATAGAATAGACATCCATTATCTGTTCTAGGTTTTGTCCCTCTCTTCTTGTCCCTTTTTTCTCTCTATTTATCAGCGTTCTGATGGCATTTTAGCCAAAGGATTTTTATCAAAAACATAATTAATGTGCACAAATAAGGATTAGTTGTATTAACCATACATGGAAACAGAGTTTTATGGGGCCCCCAGAACTTGGGGCCCTGGGCAACTGCCTAGTATTTCCTAATGGTAAATCCCCCCCTGGATACCCTGCTAGTGGATGTTCTTGACAGAAAGACGGAGTTGCTTAATCATATTCTGCTTAAGGTCCCATAAGATCTTGTCCGAGTCCTGGTTTAAAAGTAAATTAATTTTAAAAAGTGACCCAAAATTGACTGTCAATAAATGATCTACAAAATTGATATATTTATTTGATTTGTACTGTCTGTTTAGATTTATGTGATATTTTTTGCACAAAATATATAAGTGAATATTGTAACAGTTATGTTTTCAACTGTAAGCATTAAATTGATAAATGTTATTCGCATTTTTTTGGCTTTATCCTTTCCAACAAAAAAAAAAGGCGTCGCGCAGGTAGCTCCCTTTCCTTATGAGCCGTCCCCACCAACTTTCAACACAAAGTTACACCCTTGTCTTAGACAACGCCTTAGCAGGTGCACTGAAAAAATTCGGCGCGCGCATAATCTTCTAGGGGCTGAGCCACCCTTGTGTCTTAAACCTAGAGACGCCCCTGGGGCTCAGCATTAAATACAGAGTCCATCCTTTCCAGGGAGGTGCTGGATATCAGTGGGATTCAGGAGCAAAGTCTGCTTCAGTTTGGAGACTATGAGGGCAGCGGATCAGTGCCGCGCTCTACAGCCTCTTCACTGAACCACATCAAAGGGAAAATGGGAAGTGCGAGTGAAGATCTACTCGTCACACTGCAGATCCTGCCCGGCTTCTTCTCCAACTGTCTCTTTCTGGCTCTATATGACTCCGTGGTGCTGGTTAAGCGCGTCGTGGCGCTGCTCAGCCGCTCACGCTCCGCTGGCTGCGGAGAGTGGCGCCGCATGCTGACCTCTGAGGGGCTGCGCTCCATCTGGAACAGCTTCCTGTTGGACGCGCATAAACAGGTAAGACTCCGAGTCTCTGTGGCACAGCATGCAACAGAACTTAGGGAGCTCAGGTGTGTTGCAGGGGAAGCTGTAGTGCATCATGAAGTCAGGTTGAAAGTTAGAAGTTATTATGAATCAAGCTGATCAGAGAAAAGTCCAAAATTTATATTTATTTTTTCTATCCTGTAGTTGATCTTATTGAAACTGAATGCTTCACGGTTTGTGTTTTGAATATGAGTGTCTAAGTCCAGTTTTGTAATATAGAAAATTACTCCCTAACCTTAAACCTCATCCCCTCTGTGCAGAAATCTGTTGTCTTTCTTCATATTCTGTTGAAATATATAGTTGAGTTGAATTTTATGTTGTAAAATTTTATTCTGATCTGCAAAGCCCTTTACTGAACGAATAACCCCCCAAAGGAAAAAATGATACACTAACATTCTTTATGCTTAGTCATGTTGTTGACTTTCTGCCAAATTGCCAATTAACCTAATTTATGCCTCATTACATTTGTTGTTTCCTGTTTTTTTCTGAAAAAAAACAAAAAAAGTCAAATGGCAACAATTGAGCATGCCTTGCAAAAGTAATCATCTTCATTTGCCCACATCACCCATCACATATGTATATATATTAGATATATATACATATATATATTGAATATTATATATATATATATATTACCATTTTAGCATGATACTTCTCTTCATGCCAACCTCTTAGTTAAAATCTAAGGTTTTATACAAAAAAAAAAATCAGTTATGTAACATGAGTGCCCTATCAACTCCTTGGATGCGATATTTTAGACAGCACAATGTTTCAAGTAGGGCTGAAACAGTTAATAGGATTAATCTTGATTAATTGTTTATTGCGCTGTCACTTAAAGGCATGTTTTACAGTACATAGGCTGTAAAACATGCTTTTAACCAACAGAGATTAGCAATTATAACCAAACCAAACTAAACATATATATATATATATATATATATATATATATATATATATATATATATATATATATATATATATATATATATATATATATATATATATATATATATATATATATATATATATATATATATATTGTTGTCTGTTGTGGCTGTTGTCAGGTGATGACCAGGTTATGACCCTGTTAGTCCCTCCTTGAATTCGATCTCTAACAGGTCTGTACCAGACTGATGCAACGTTTTTACATGTTGTATCACACCTTGGTTTTGAAGGGGATGGGTCTCTTAGGCTTGTGCAGTCACTCTCCATATGTTATACCAATATGCTGGAGACTCAACAAGAAGTCAAATCTTGTACAACCCAGCAACAGCAAAGTTGGTCATCTTAACTCTTCACACCATTTTTTTCCCATGCAACCGTTTTAGCAACATCCCCAAAACACTCAAAGACAGTACAAAACCAGGCTACTATAGTATTATTGTAGTCTGTATACTTTAATGCTTGATTAACTTGGATTCAATAAAGTTCACACAGTTAAAATGCTGTCTTTTAGAGCAAGCCTTTTTTTTTAGAGAAAAATTCCCCCAGAACTTGTAGACAACAGTTTGCTCCATATCAGATGCTGGAGATGCATTGACACGACACATACAAATAAATACATGGGTGTCCAGAATGAGTGCTTAGTTTTTCTGACAGATCTTACATTTCATTTCCTATATTGATGAATGTGATGACAGTTCAGTTCTCCAATTATTCCCAACCCATTTTACCTTCGCTTCCTTTTTCCTAACCCAATGGATTTACTGCAGCCTGCAGTAAATCTGCTTTTGACTGCAGCCACAGTTGGGTTTCTAGCAGGATCTTGGTATTTTACTTGTTCTTTGCACTTCGGCAGACTTCTCCCCTAAAATGTTGAACAGACAACATTACGTGACATGAGCTCTAGTGTCACTATGATGACAGGTTAAGTTTGAGCTCTTAATTATTACCATGCATGTAGTTTCAAGCTGCATACATTGTAAAACCCGCACTTAACATTTTCTGAAAGGTTTTAGGTATGTGCTTTTGTGAAGCCTCTCCAGTTTAGCCACTAACACCTTTAAGCCTATTTAGCTTCATAGCAGTTCCAGTGCATGGAGAGCCACATCTGGAATTTTACTGTAAACACAAATGTTGAACTTTTTTTTATTTAGAGCAGCCAACAATAGCACATCCTTCTCTGTGAACCAAAGCAAATCTCTTTCATTACATTCCCTGGTTTTGTGATCTTTTTCCTAATTGCTTTTTAATGCTAGAGACTGCTATTGTGAACATAATCCATTCAGTTTTTTTACCTGTTACAAAACCCCAGTTTTTATAATGCAGGATCTCACATCCAGACAAATAAATTTAACCTCATTGTTTCTACTAGTCTAACTTCAGTCCATTATGTTCAAAAAACATTTTTCCCCTCCTCCCACCTTCCCAAAGTTGTGGGTTTTTTGAGCAGGTACCCCCACACCCCCAGTCTATTTTCTAAGAAAGAAAGAAACAAACAAAAAAATTAAGGTTTTTTTTTGGGGTAAATTTACTTCCTTATCTGAAACGGACACTGGAAGTGACAGAACGTGGCTCTACTTATCTTTACAGAAGTAAATGGTGGATATCAATGCTAATTCAGACAATGAAGAGACTTTAAATGTTGGCAGCTTCATATGTGATGGACCACAACCCTATAATTATGAGCCTGTTGCTCACTCAAGAAAGCAGAGGGAGACCAGGGGAGAATTAATGGCCAAAGGAGACAGAGTGAGTTGTGGTGTGAGAGCAATCAGTGAAGTTAGTGGAGGCAATTTCACCGTGATAATTTAGTGCAGCATCATCCTACTTTTTTTCCTTAACCGCAGATGTCATTCTGAGAGATTTTGTGCATTGATCTGTTTTTAGAACTTGAAATCTGATCACAGCACAAAAATCCCAGGTGATAGGTAATAGGGCTGGAAAATAATTTGCATTTGCAATATAATCGCATTTAGCAAAATGCAATTTTCATATCAGAGAGACGCTCAATTTCAGTAACATTACATTGAACAACAGTAAGATAAGTTAGGTCAATTTCTCCCTCCAGTCTTTTAGGTGGCAGTAATATCCTTAAAATTGTTTTGCCAAAACACAGAAAGGAAGAGACAGCTGCAAGAAGTAGGAACTTTTTTACACAAAGTTTACAGTTAAGTCCTGCAATAAGGTCATAAAAATACTGAAACCCTCAAGTGAAACATCTACATATTTGTACTTAGTATAAAGGGGAATCACAATAAAATTGCAATTGCAATATTGGTTGAAATTAATTGAGATTTAGATTTCGGGCAAAATCGTTCAGCCCTACACAAGTTGTTTGAGGGGTAACATCTACAGATCTTTGTGTGTGGGGCTTTCTTATCTTTATTTAAAGTTTCCCCAGCATCTATATTGATACCAAACACACTTCCCAGTCATCAATCCACTATGAGTGCATGCAGGATCTGTTGCTTACTGACCCATCTTGTACCACGAAGTGAGCCCAATCCACAACTATTTAGGAGCAGAGGTACCACGAAGCTGGTTATCAACTTGCTAATTCAGTCCAGCTTTAACTGATCATGAATTTGTGAGTGTGCACATATAAAACAGTGGGTTCAAGGTTGCAGACCAATCACAATCATTAGTGCAGGAGGGAGAACACCGTATTTCTCCTGTGGGGAACATAAACTCTTCTTACAGAAATACTACGAGGAAAAAACTGTCTCATGACAAGTCACATGTTAGCTAAATCAGTATTTGACTACATCCCCCAGGAGTAAAGAGAACTTGGAACTACATAAAAATAAGTATGTGTTATAGTGATCCAAAGACCGATCTAACAATTTGTGCCCTGATTTTGAAAGATATATATTTTTTAGCTTCATTTATCAATTATACAAGAAACAAGTGAATGTCAGCTGTATCTAAGGATATTATACAGGAGAAAATAATTACAGAATAGTCAAAGGTCGTTATGTCCAAAATGAGGCAAAAAAATGTAATTAGTCAAGAACATATTTTGTTTTAACTGCTATTTTATTGTGAGGTTGTTTTATTGAAGTTCTTTTTGTGCACGTCATTGTTTCCTGAAGAGTTGATTGGCTGCTGAGTTGAATGTTTTCTAGGATTTAGATCAATGCTGAAAGCTAGCCTTCCCGGTAGCAGGTTTGTCGTTCATTACCATGATGACTAGCCTCAGGTTGAGTCAAGGTTAAATTTAAAGTTGTCTTGCTAACACAGTTGTTATGCTTCGTGGTGCCGGACTCTGCTCCTGTAAGATTTGCATTTTGACTTGGACACAGTCTGTCAAAGGGAACAGGCTTTATTCATTTCAGTATCATTAGACAAAGTTTGTGCTGTCCCAACAAACGCAGTATTTACCATGTTTCTTATCAATAAATGGAATCTCAAACTCTACCAAACTCAGTTACATGTCTGCCCTTCCTGATAACAACATAGTCTCCACCCAGAGCTGAAACAGCCCTGTCTATTTGACTGAACCTTTTGACATCACATGCTTATAAAAGTCACTTTTATTGCTAAATGTACTTTGTTATTGGCGGCCAAAACACTTCAAACCTTAACAAACCTTACAAATATGATCATTAAGACAACATTCAGTTTGCTTTTTGTCAACAGTTTACCCTGAATTGTCTCTTTAATCAGACAGGAAGACAGTCCATCTGACTCTCTAATAACCTATCTATTGCTTCTTATTGCCTCAAATCTTATTTGGGATTGGGCCACAGAGGTAAAAGCTCCAGTAAGCAAACAAAGACCACTTTTGTGAGATTTTTGTTTTTTTAGCTATTTGTGGTTCATAATAAAGTTTAACCTCGTGACGATAGATCAATTGTCTGTCAAGTCATTAGTCTGCTCCTTAGTCTCCACCGGGAGGAACATACTTGGACAACTTCAGCTGATTCCTCTTGAGAAGCAGAGGCCCTACTATTACATCATCTCTAAGGCAGGTGTGACCAAGTTCTGTCCTAAGGCCCGCTGTCCAACTCTGGTCCAGCACAGATGTTTCAAAGGGCTTAATTTCCTCTATAGCATTTAATGAAGTTCTGTTGAGGCCTGTAAATGACTCATTATTTTTATTCAGATGTGAAAAAGTGTCTGATCAATCACATAACAGTTTGATGGAAAAATATTGGATCCACTTGTAGCTTTGAGTGCCTGTTATAGGAAACTTTTTTCTTACTTACACGCAGAAGAAAAACGTGTTTCTCTCTACAAACCTTTAGAGGTGCTTACATCCTTACAATAAACTCTTAAACAAGCCTACCTTCAGCTCTTCCAATATTCAAAGCCTCAGAGGCAAAGCTCGTCCTATCTGACCTGACATCCTAAATGGAGAAATAAATCCATGTGTTTGATTTTTTTTCTTTACAACAAAACTGATTTGAATAAAGTTCTTTGATGAACATTTGGTGTTCTTTCTTCATCCCTCGTTGTTCGAAATAAAAAAATCTGTTATTCAGTGTAATAACTAAGAAATTTCTGACTACTTGTTCTACACGATTCAAATATGTTTTTTTCCCTAGTTTTCCCTAAAAGTACAACAATAGCACCTGAAGTTGGTAAAATGTCATATAAAGCAGTTACATTGTTTAGTATGAAAAATCAAGTTTTACTTATATATATCTAAATGTCATGTATTGAAATTAACAGACATATAATGTGTACCAGGTCTATGCCTATAATTCTTACTCAGACTCTGGGGCTTTTTACTGGTTAAAGATGTAGGTCATCATACAAGCATCGGTGCACAGACAAATGAGAACTAAACCAGACTCCCATTGAGATGTTATAAGTGTGGTGCAGAAATGTGATCCCACATAACAGTTTGTAAGAAATAAATGTTAGTATTTGTACTTCCTCAGGTGAAACTTGGCTGTGAGGCACCAAACTCCAAGGTGGTGAAGGTTGCTGATGGACCTCGGTGGAGCAGTCCTGTTGTCCCATATGGCTCCAGGATCCAGACCAGTGGTGAATGTCGCCTTCTGGATTTTGAGACATCAGATCGCCCTTTGGTTGTGAACTTTGGCTCGGCCACCTGACCCCCATTCATCAGCCACCTGCCTGCCTTCCGGCAGCTCGTGGAGGACTTCAGTGAGGTGGCTGATTTTTTGTTGGTCTACATCGATGAGGCACACCCTTCTGATGGCTGGGTAGCCCCCCGGATGGGTCCCTGCTCTTTCAGTTTCCGGAAACATCAGAACCTTGAGGAGAGAATAGGAGCTGCACGCAAACTTATCGAGCACTTTTCCCTACCACCGCAGTGCCAGCTAGTGGCCGACTGCATGGATAACAATGCCAACGTGGCTTATGGGGTGGCAAATGAACGAGTATGCATAGTGCACCAAAGGAAGATCGCCTACCTAGGAGGGAAGGGACCATTTTTCTACAGCCTGAAGGATGTGAGGCAGTGGCTGGAGCAGAGTTATGGAAGACGATAGGAGTATTGAATATATGACAGGACAGAATACGACAAGCAAAGCCTCATGGCTTTGCTTGAAGTAAAACAGGTTTGTCATGAAGATGTCAGCCATCAGGCTTTAAACAACTGTATCATGGAACTGCAGAGCACTTTCTTTGTTTTCATACACACCGAGTGTGTTTCGTCTGTGTTTCTTCATGTTTTTGCTGCTAAAAATCATATTTTAAGAAGGAAAAGAAAAACAACTAATTTCCCAATTTAAACAAATATTTAAAAAAATATTATTTTTAGAAGAATTGTATATTTTTTACATCTTGTTCAGATGTTTTTTGCACTATTCCAGCATCCTAACTTTTATCTACACCTTTTCCTTCCTGGTGGTTCATGCAGGACATGCTGAAGCATTGTTCTCCATCTTTCATGTTTTAATATAAACTCAAAGTAGGTCTAATGTGGCAGAAATCTAACTCTACGTGACTGTTCCTCCTTGTTCCCATTGTTATTTTAATAGAGTTCTTTTAGACAATGTCTGCATGTGAAAGATGTTATCTAGGTTGCAAACAAAATCTAGCATAGGGATTCAGGTATCTGTCTTTTGCATTTTCTCCAGTTTGTTTTAATGTATTTTCAAGCCGTGTTACTTTAAAACAGCCTCAGGGATTCAAGATGACAATTCTGTGCCTTGGTTTTCAACGTGCACTAGCTTTAGTAACAAAGAATTATTTTTATTCATATAATGCCTTAAAACCTTTCCTCAAATGACGTAGTAAAACCAATTTTTAAATTCTACCAGGAAAAACCATTGCCTAGACATGTATATATTAGATAAAAGCTTTGCCATTTCATTTAATATTTAGAATTACTTTTATTGCTGTCTTAAACTCTCTGTTTTCAGCCCTCAAAGACTTAAAGATGATTCAGAGATACTCTCTAGATCTGCAGAATAACCTTCTAACAATTAGTTATAAATGATGTTATTGATGCTTGCCTCTTAGTGTTTGAGAAAAAACTTTTCATACAATTACTTTAGATAAACAGGTTGTATCACTTAAAAAAGTATATTTATTTAATTTTTTAGCAATTTATCTCCTGAGCACTGTCTTGGAATCAGATTTAATTGATTGTGGGCTTTATGGATAGTGTTGCTATGTATAGTTTACATTACCATATTAAGAGGCGTCCAACTTATCGGTCTGTAGCATTTGATCAATGAATAAAGAAAAAAAATTAGTCTAAAGGTTTGGTGTATCACTATCTTAATTTGTTACACAATTAGCGGAGTTACCAAATTCACTTGAGAAGAACAAGCAAACATCTTTCCCATGCACAAAGGCAATAATTGTGTCTTTTTGTCGTTTTAAAAAATAAATAGATGGTATACCAGCTAAAACCTGCGCAGCGATGTTTGCCTTCCGCATCTTGTTGATGTCATACACATCACCACATTTCAATGGCCCAAAATATATCTGTATGGAAGCTAATGATTCTGTTGCCTTCTGGCAAGATATATTTTTTGGAGTTTGTGTATTCACAAATCTTACAAAAATTAAGTTTGCTTGCAAGGTAAGGACCCTTCTAATTTTCTTTCAATCAACAGGTCAGTTAGCCAAAGAATTTATGTTTCATAAAGGCAACAAAATGAAGAACTAATTACTCTATAAATAATTAAAAAGTACAGATGTTTTTATTAAACATTGTAATAGTTCATATAAGTAAATTCAGCAAATGTTTTCATGCATAAATAGGCCTATTCCTAATAAACAATTCTTCTATGTAGGCCTCAAAATTAAAATGTAACACATTTATGATGCTTTAAATTCCTGTGGGGAAATAAAAAGATTTAGCAGGAGATATTTCATAGGTGTGGTTTCTGTTCTACTATGCACAGGAGATAGTCTTGAAGCACAATTAACCCAATGATCTAAACTGTATATTGTCAAAAAAGGCACCTTTTTTTGTGAGGAAACATGGAGAAAGACACTTTTTAATGAAAAAAAAAGTTCAGATGCATTTTGCTTCTGCATTTTTGCACTAAAAAAGTCACGTTATGAGAGTTGGAAAGCCACATTAAATCTATTTTTTGTTTCAGAAAAAGATTTATCAAAGCATGCAAATATTTGATGTTTTTTGATCATAGACCTTATGGAACTGGTGTTTTTGAGGTTCCAAAATGAACTGACATCACATCTAGCTCATTTCAAAAATGGCCTCAGTTTTGCAGGACCATCTGTGCAGAAATTGTAAAACACACTTGTTTAGGTGTGTGATAGGACAATTAGCCAGATTTAAAAAGGACACATTCATAAGACTTCACTCTTTACCTGAAGTGATTTAAAATGTTTTTTTTTTATGCATCAGGATCAGATAAAATGCCAAAAAACTATTAGAAAAACCTTTTGCACTAACCTTACTGCCAATATTGAGTTATATATCAGTGCATTTTCATTTCAGAACCTTTTAAATTTTCTTGGGGAACAAAACAGCTGATTATTAACAGGTGTAGACTTCGTAAAAGGGCTTCCTAGATCACTGTAGACACATATATTGATGCAACGCTTACATTTTGCCTTCGTAGATCAGTTTGTTGTTTTGCAGTTAATCTTAAAGATACATCTTCTCTGACTGGATTTTTTTAGTCTTTTTTTGTCAGATGAGGTTGATTTGTAATTCAAGTAGAGCTGCTTTTAGCTTGTTTCTTCCTTTCTGAAAGATTAGGTTCTACACGTTTTATCTGAGATACAACACCAGCAAGCTTTTATATCAGATTTCAATATCCTCTGTTCCTAGTGTAGAAGTCTTACCTGTATCTAAATACATATTTTCATTTATTCTCTACATGTTAAGGTGGATGGACGGATGTCAGAAAAAGTGAAGGAATATGAAAAGAAACAAGACAGAATTTTTTCTCTGGACAGATGGTTTGCTCTGCCCGAGGTGATTATGGTGTGTAAATGAAAACCTTTGACGAAAGAGGCCCTGACTCAGTCTCTGGTTGGATAGTAAAAAACACCTTGTCATCATGACGCAGGTTCAAGGCATCTGTTTTCATTTTCAGTCTCAAAGTTCTGTCTCGTGTTACAGTCACATGTGGACGGCATTGGTTTCATCTCAGTCAAGTGTAACACTTATTTTTATATGTAAAATGGGGGAACAGCCACTGGTGTAAAATAAAGTTGAATGTTTGACATTAACACTTTCATTTGTCATCTTTGAGTCATTTTGTCTTTAATTTTAAACCATGTCTGACAAACATGTCATCCTCAGAGTAGCGCTAAGAATTTGATGTTTGGTTCTTGGTTCTCAGATATGTAATATAGATAGCTATTTTTTTATATGAACACTTAAAACAGCAGATCTAGATAAAGAATACAGATTGTTGTGCAAGAGTACCTTTTTCCTATTTACAATGTTACTATTACTTCCTTAAAAAGTAGGCCAAGCCATGAGGTCTGAAGATCCTTGAAGATTTGGGTATAACTTTGTCACCTTTCTCTCTAAAACATTTTAAATTGTTTTCATAATATTCTTGGTCTCTAAACACTGCAACATTTTTCACTATGGACTGCAGGGAGTCAGTTTTAGCAGCCACTATATATGCCTTGAAACCATTTGGAGAATGTGTTTTTACAAAACAATCTACCTGGAAAATATAATCTGTTTATTTATTTGCTGGTCTTGCTCTAAAATCCCAGCTGAAGCTTTCTACATTAAAGGCATAGTGGCGGATTTGCAAAGTTTTGAAAGGACCCACCCTCTTCAATAAAAAAAAAATTTAAAAAATGCACATGCACAACCCTGTACCCGCTCCCCAAAGCGAGCAGCTATTAAACGTATGTAAGAGCATGCACAAGCCCATTTCTCCTTGTGCACGCACTGTTTAAAAGTTGCTGTTTGCATCGCCCATACAAGTTTACCTTCCAAAAGAAGATTTGCATTTTTTTTCACTATGTTAGCCTCACCACTGGTAAGTGAAAATGGGGACGAGCAAGTAGGACGGCCGTACGTACATACTAGAATGATTGACATTTAGGAGGACCACTTATTTTGATGATCTAAATAAAGAAAAAGAACATCCTCCACTATAACTTTAATGCCAATGCTCAAGAAATGGAAATGAGCTTTGCTGTAACGTATTCTGGATAAGAAACTGACAACTGACTGGACTGAATGCAGTTTTTCCTCTTTGCTCCATTCCTTCTCACAAAGACATTGAACGCTGATCTGTTTGACCACATTACATGATTGGAGATGCTTCCATGGTCCAGAGAAGTGACCAGGGCCTCCGGACAAGGATAACAAAAAGTAGAGTTTAAAATGGCTTTTATGAATGTAACTCGATGTTGAATGAACTGACAAGGTTTTCACAACATAATGCCGTACATATGCTGACAAGTATTCGATTGGGATGCAGTAACAGCAGAGGTATCAGAGATTGCAGGCCTCGATTATTTCTTTTTTTTTTGCACCAGATAATTGAATTATGTAGTCAATCACTTGACTATCTTATTTAGAATGTGCAACTTGAAATAAAAAAATAAATGGATATAAAAGATCACATTTAGAGAAGAACATTAGACATTTTAAAGCCAGTAAAAAAAATAAAGAGGTCATAGAATGATTATATAGGGTATTTGGTGCTGGTCCTTAAGGTCTCTGGCTAGGGTTTATAAAATTGGTTGGGCGGAAAATGGCATATTTGCTGTTCTATGAGCCCTAATGCAAGCGTGGTTAAAAGTCCTAGAACCAAACGACTGGACAAACGACAGCAACAAGCACTTACTCACTGAAACATAAAATTGTTGATATGGGAGGGTGACCAGACGTCCTCTTTTTCCCGGACATGTCCTACTTTTCATACCTAAAAAAATGTCTGGGGGGAGTTTCAAAATCATCCGGGATTTTGGTCGTCAACAGTGCAGCATGTAGTTGAAATATGCCGGGCATTCAAACAAAGCTGTCTGCTCAGGGGCCGGTCCGAGAACCCTGGTTGACAGGGTCAGGGAGCCAGCGGGGGACGGAACGGCCGGACCCAACAAGGTGACGGTAGCCTGGACACAGGCGGCTCCGTGCTTCCCCCTGCCTGCCTTACTGGCCCCCAGCCCCCCTCCTCCAGCTAGGGACGGATGGCTCATGGCTCTCTCCTTAGGTCCGGTCCAGTCAGCTGCCCAGCAGTCGACACTTCATACTGTACCTTGGGCCAGTGAACGAGTGGGGTGGTCAATTTCGGGGTGTGAAAAAAGTACAGGCCAGAACCAAATAAGGCAACACCCCAGCTTCGTTTTGATTCGCCCGTTTTATGGTGGAAGTTTAGTATTGTGAGATTTGTGGAGAAAGGAGGTGTCGACAGGGTTTTAACTTCTCTGTACGTCCATTTCACCCACTGAACTATCATTATTCATCTATGAGAATGTAAACTCGGTTTTGCATTCTATGACCCCTTTAAATAACTGCAAACTACCTGCTTCTTTTCACTGTAAATGACAGCATTCAGACTTTTCATAAAGTTAAGGAGACAGAATCTTATAAAACAAATTTTCTGTTCAACTGTGCTCTCTTCTTTAGCCTAACCTGTTAAACTTTTGGGGTTTATATACTAAGACAACAGTATAAATGAAGAAATGTAAAAGAGTGGAGAATGCAGAAATTGACCCTTCCAGCTGCTCTTGCAACAGCTGTTTTTCAGCTAAGTTCTAAACGCCTTTTTCTGTCCATTATTTCCCAATTCAAAGCTGTCATCTAATATAATCTAGGTTACTACAGCTTTTCCTGCACGCTGTTTGAAAAAGAAGCTTTTGTTACTGATTCTGGGCAAGCACAGCCAGTGTTTACAAGAAACGGACTGTCTCTTTACCCCTGAGAGGCACAGAAAGTCCAGCCAGACTCCCAGTAATGTTGGAAGGGTGACAGCAGAAAGAAGCATGCAAAAAAAGTCCAAAGTAGAAACATTGAGTCAGCATAGAGAGAACAACATACAAAATCTTGTTGGTCCATAATGGTATAAAGATAGCATTCGCTCTTAATTTGGTTCTTACCAGATATTTAAAGCAACCACTTTAAAAGTGTTAATTACTCCAAGTCAACTTTTTTTGTAGATAAACTTTGTAGACAGTCTTGCTATCGAATAGTATATTATATTTTCTTAACATTTTCATGTCAACTTTTTAGTTCTACAATATTTCTCTTACAATATTTGACTTGGTGCTGTCCTCATATGGTGGCTATTGAATTTTATTCTCATCTTGGTCCAAATGCTGATACACAATTTTGTCACTGGTATTTTCATTCATCATTATAGCCCCTTAGTATAAGTAAAACTAACTCAGACAAGCACCCCCACAGCGAGCCATCCTGTACTCTGCTGCCTTAGCAATACCAACTTCAAGACCAAGTCAGTGAACTGAAAGCAAGTGGCTGAACCTGGTAAGGATTTGTCCCACTGCTCTTCACAAAGTCTCCCTCAACTTCCTGTGTTAAGGGGGGTGACAATCCTCCTTCCTCAAAAGATCAATCTTTGAGTTACTACCAGCATCCCAATGCTCACAATCCATGCTTCATAATGTCCGAGCAAGGCTTAGCATTCTCTCTTTCTGACCGCATGGCCATTTAACCCCCACTGCTTATCTTCTCTCTTAGTCTTTCTCCTTTAGGCTATGCTGGTACCTACCAATTTTGTGGTGGTTTTAATTTTGCATAATCTTCCGTGTGCAGAAAAGAAAAGTCACCCAAATTTTCCTCTGCTTCACAAACTAAACTCTCAGCAGAGTTGAGCATGTCAAAATGGGTCATGGCATCATAAGAGAAAAAATAATTCACTTCTTGATACAGAAAGCTGTTCTGTTGAAGCTGATAACAACAAATAAATTTCTACATTACTTTCACTGTATTGATTTTCACCTTTGTAGTCATTGTTTTGTGGTGTGACAACATGTTCACATGTGTCCACATCCAATTACACTTGAAATCTATTATTTATTTATTTTATTTTTTTTATACAAAATGTTGCACAATGCTTTTTTTGGCCATAAAAAGTATTAGGAAAGCTGATATTGTTGGAAAAGCTCAGTTTTTGAAATACTTTCGAATTGATCCCCACTAACATAATTTGATGTTAATGAGGAAACATATCCTTATTCCTCAATCATCATTCTGTCAGTAAAAAACTGATCAGAGAAATTATAAAAAAACAAAGTTTCATGTTAACAGGAAATTCATATCAGTGAAAACAACATATTGTGTGCTTAAAGACATCTCTGGATATGATAAAAACCGCTGATCACTGAAAGGTTATCTGCCACTGTAAACACAATGGACCCTACAGTTTCCAGAAATCTGAAAACAGATGCAAACAATCAAGGTCTCCACACGCAAATATGCAGAACATTTAAATATTTGCAACAGCTGTAGCTCATGGCATGGTTTTATCTATTAAGATTCTGTCATCTGTATAAATCTGTTTAAGCTCCTCTTGAGTCTGGTGATCTCATTAATTTGAACACCTTGAAATGATCTAAAGATCCTGTCTGGGAACAGTCTGGTGTCCTTCAGTTGCTTTTTTGAATGAACATTTTGTGAGCTAATTTGAACCAATGTCTATAGAAACATACTTTAAGAATACTATATCAAGCAGCTCCATCACTGAACAGAGCTATAACAACTGAAGACACGTTAGGAAATAAACTCGATCTGTCTTGAAGGTTAAGCAAGAAAATATATGCAATAAAATCAAATTAGGACATTGTCGTTACTTGAGCTGTTTGCACCGCCACTAAAAGCTGATTGTTCAGATATTTAAACAGGTTTGTTTTGTTAGGGAGAGGGGTTTAATAATCCCTATCACTGTATTATTATGTTTAATAAAATGCAAACACAACAAACTTTCATGATCTCGCCGCTGATGTCTGGTCTGATCATTAATTTTACTCACCTGCTTATCTCAACCCATTTCTCATTGCTGCTCAACTGATCCACCTGCCCCAGCCTCTATTTAACCAGACTTTAGACAAGCAATCAGTGCCAGATTATTCAAGTCTCTGGTGAGAGTTCTCTAGTATACTGGTGTATTCTGATTGCCTGGTCCTGACCCATTATGCCTCTTGACTTATGCCTGCCTGTCCCCGTTCTGATCTGTTTGCCTGACCTGTCTTTGGACTCCTGCTGGATTTCTACCGTTCTGTTCTGGAATTACCTTCGGCACCTCTTTCGACTTCTGATCCCCTGGCTCTAACTACCAAGCATGTCTTCGACACAGGCTTTGGCTTCACCCTTTGGATTATCTGCCTTCTGTCTTCCTGCGCCTGCTTGGTCCTGATCTCCTGCCTTTCCCCTGACCTCTGAGAAACTCTCTGGGCAGCGCCCGCCACGTCTCATTGCCAGCCTACTGGTTAGAACCTACCTCATCCTCTGGGCTCAGACTGAACTCCAAGAAAAGAGGTTCCTGTCTTAAATGCTGATCACTGAAGTTCTGGCAGAAAGTAACTGTCTTTCTGCCTGGAATACTGGGTCCTTTTGTTCTGAGCCTAACAACAATCTTCTATAATAAACACAGAATAGATGAAGGAATCAGTATACATAAGAGTCCAAATGATTTCTTAAGGTATTGAGTCTAATAATGTTCAGTCTAAGGGAATGTCCCTCAGATTAGCAGTAGAAATGATATACAGCAAACAGATGTCTGACAATGGTCTTGGGTAACAGTCAATAATTGTTCATTATTGGATTAAGTTTCACTTAATCCAATAATGAACAATTACCAATGAACTAAATGCATTGGATGTAACAGCACTGAGATGTTTATAAGAAAGAGTGGTAATGTTGGGGAAACAACACCTTTGTTGCCACTACAACTGATAGCTTATTGGCAAACACAGCTAAGCCACAGCTAGCAACAGCTAGCAAACAGTCCACAAACGTGCTACTGCAATCAGGTTAACCCTGGTATATTGGCAGCAATCTATGATAGTAATCATAGATCAAACCTCAAGATGTCAGGTCTAGTCATAAATATGTTTAGGTCATAAACCACACTGCCTTTCACAAGATGGCAGACTATACAACAAAGTGAGTTTGGACTGGGAGAAACGTGCAAAGAGACTAACAAGAGAAAACATACACAAGAAGATGACAGGGGTTGTTTCTATAGCTTCACAGCTCAGGAGGGCAGGCAGCGACTCGGCAGTCTTTTGGGTCATAACCACTTACAGCTCAGAAAGAGTCAACAGAAGTAGGATGTCTGGCCAGGACATAACTGGGTGCTAACTTGGTCGATCAAGAGGCGGGGATTTAAAGGAAAACTCAACAGGCATCACCAGCAAGCTATGCTGGATTTACAGCTCCATGTAGTCCTTTTGCCAGCAAAAATGAACTACTGTACGTTCACACCACAAGGTAACATGATGTCCAGCTGGATTGTTGGGTTTCTCTGTATATCCACCCTGAAGGTCCAGGAGGAAGAGGGTAAAAATGCTTTTCTCTGTGGATTTAAAGGAGCTGCAGGGGTAGGGTTCAGGTAGTCACATCAGAGGGGCGGACTGTGTTAAAAACACATCCGGAATCTGATGCTCTCTAATACAGGGAGTATATATATATATATATATATATATATATATATATATATATATATATATATATATATATATATACCGTATATATATATATATATATATATATATATATATATATATATATATATATATATATATATATATATATATATATATATATATATATTTATATATATAAACTCTTCTTCCCCCCCTTTTTCCTCCAAGCTCGGGTCCTCTACCAGAGGCCTGGGAGCTTGAGGATTCTGCGCAGTGTCTTTGCTGTTCCCAAAACTGCACTCTTCTGGACCAAGATGTCTCATGATTTTCCAGGGATCTGCTGTAACCACTCCTCCAGTCTGGGAGTCACTGCCCCAAGGGCCCCAATGATCAAGGTTACTTAGGTAGTAACATTGTAATAGAGCCCTGTTCTCACATCTTGTCCATTTCCTTCGTGTTGTTCCTCTAGCCCATTTGACATCAAGGTGCTCTGGTTCCCCACGCAGATCTTGTTTGGCCAGGTGACGTCTGAGCTGGCATTCATTAATTATATTGTCTATTATCATCATTGTGTGAGGTAGGCATTAACATGAAGGGTCTTGCCTAAGTACCCCAATGGACATTTCTTCTCAAACCTAGGCCTACCGTGTGCAAGTCTGGTGACTTGACACTTGAGCTATTCATCCACCGATAGGCAGTAGAGCAGAGCAAAGCGTCTTGCCTAAGGACACACACTGGCAGCTTATGTTATTTATATATATATATATATATATATATATATATATATATATATATATATATACATATATATATATATATATATATATATATATATATATATATATATATATATATATATATATACAGTATATACTGCAAACCTATGTTTGTGTGATTACCTTAAAAAGAGGATGACAGCCGTTTCCAGAGGTTTCAACCTCAGATCTGAGCAGGGCATCCAGTCGGTCAGATGATTAATTTTAAAGTATGCAGACTCCCCTCACTCACTGAACAATTGAAAGAGGTACAAAGCAGATCTGTTTAAGATCTTTACTTGGATGTTTATGTGGAACTTTTTGGAAGACCAGACTGGTTGAAGGTATTTTTCATTCATTAGGTCTGTGAACTCAAACGGCCTATGTCATGCAAAATCATCTTTTTCATTATTTCAACTAAGTTATTATGCTTTTTCTTAATAAAAATCGTCCAAAAAGTGGTATTGCGTTTGATTAACGAATTCTGCACTCTGAGCAAGAGCTAAATTTTTAGCCATGAAAATCTGTTTTCTGGCATTCAGAGAAGTCTAAATTAGGTCAGACTTCAGTAGAGGTGTTCTATAGCAACTTCCTGAAATGGTTGGAACAATGACAAGAAAAGGCCGGTTTGTTAGAAGTCCAGTGTTTGTCTTCAGGATTGGAAGAAATTAAGCAGTATTTCATCACAAATTCATTCTCTGCAGCAGTAAAGGCATTATTTCAATATGTATATGACTATAGTTTACTTTAAAAGGCTTAAAAAAGCAGGATATATGACCTGTAATGTTATCAATATATGAAGAAACAGATGTATAGATTCTTAATGTTGGGGCTTTGCTTCCACTGCCACATCAAAAACGTAAATGCTTGCCTTATTACCAACTATCCTTTCACACCAATTTTCCTTTTAGATATTCTTTAATGTTCCAAAACTGATTCGTAACACAATGTAATCTCTGGTCCTTCAATGCTTTAATAAACTTCTCAATCTGTACTGCATCCACTTTTCTGATTGACAAAGAAATGGAATGTTTAAAAGCAATATGAATTTATTTAAACTGAATTAAATAAACTGGAAACACATAGGGCGTTGCTGATGAGGTGGGGAAAACTGCTGTCAACAAGCATTTGGGGATGGTTCACCCCAGCAACAACCCCAGTTTTAATGCACTTTGGCTTTTCCACCCAGGCACACTTATCGACACATTACATAATCACAATCACATACACACACTATTAAGAGTGTCATGAGGTGGGAAGCTAGGTCTTGTGGGCATTAGGGAAGGAACATGCAGTGCTGCAATAATATTGAATTTAATAAAGTTAACCATGCAATTAAACTGTCAGGAGAAATCTTTGTTGTAGAGCAAAACTGCCCTGGTCCATATAGGGAAATATCTGCTCCATGTGATATGCCTTAAGCTTCACGACAGTCCACATTAAAAATTTAATAAATGGATTTTTAAAAAAGGTGGGTGTTTTGATCGAATTGAGTAGCACAATACAAGATTTAAAGTATCCATCATACTTTGTGGATAAAAATAGTGGAACATACCTAGTTTTATTTGTAAAAGAATACATTGATAGTGAAATTTTTTTTTTTTTTTTGTCGCATTATAAACCAAAACATTAGATTTGGATTTAATAAACCATCACAATATAGCATATACTTGTAAAGTGAAAAAGAAGTGGTTGGCAAAAATATTTACTTGTGTATATGCAATTATTTTAACTGTGCATTTCATCTCAGTAACCTAAGTACAAATACAAAGACCTTAAAAGATCCCTATACTATTCTCTTTTTCAAAAACTGTTGAATAAATGTTTCTGTTTACTGTCATGGATTGGTATATTCTACTATGTGTTTGTCTTTTACAAAATAGTGATAAAGGCCAAATTATATACATCCTCTAAATGTTTTTTTTATTTCTTTGAAGCTGGCTTCCTTTAAAAGTTCTCAATGACGTGTTTAAGGTTAGTTACTGGTAAGGCTATAATTTTCCCCAACTAGTGTGATGATGAACAACAATGATCTGTGTGATTTGTAGGTATAAATCAAATGGAGACATACACATAAACAACAACATAAAGAAAGTTATCTTTTAGACAGTGATTAAGGCAAATATTCAAAAGGCAAAAACATGCTGGCCTTATAGCTTTAAGAGGTTGTTTACTTTAAACTAGAAGTTTTTGTTTTATCATGTAATTTCATATTTTGCCAAGGGGACATTTTATTAAAGGCAAACTTGTTATTGTTTTTATGTTGTTATATTGGCTAAATGTTCTTTATTTATTTATCACTATGTCTTGTTTTTTATTCTACTGGAAGTTACAACCACTAGTGCTTGAGACTTTCTACTACAAAAAGAGATCATATTTTGATATGTTAATATCATACCGTAAATCTCTGTTGATTCATTGTGCAATTTGGCATTCTTAGTTAAAAAGAAAAAACCCCCATTAAATTCATTAAAAAGTACTGTGTGACATAAAACAACATAAAACATCTTCATTTGTAAATTGTCAAATAAAAACCCTAGAAAATAAGTATTTCATGATACGAGATCACAAACTACATCAAGTCCATTGTAGACTGAGGAAAAACAGCAAATTTTTTTTTTACGGGTCGGAGCTCCTGTAGTCCTTCCAGCTGTGTTTTTGAGAAGGTATATAACTATTTAACATCTTGATGCCAGTATATGGATATATATCTGTATAGATATATACTGACTTTATTTAATTGGGCAATTACTTAAAGGCAATAAAGAGCTTTCTAAAAGTTCCTAGGTCCACACTCGATGTGTAATAACTGGCTTGTTTGTTGCAGATTTCCAGCATCAGGCATCAAGGGGTTAAAGTTGGAGTATTTGAGCATAGCATCTCAATCTACTAAAAAAGTCACTGCCGAAATGATGGGGGGTCATGCAACTTATCCCACAACAAACTCCTCCATCTTTTTGTACTATTAAAGTATTTTTAACTTAAGAAATACATTAACATTATCATTACTGTTTATGTTTGGGGTAGTGGTGACATATATTTAGAAATAAATATTCAGAATTCTATCTATAATTGAAATAATGTTTCTATCAGAGAAATAAAATGAGATTTCTTTTTACGTTTGTAACAGAAGTAGTTACTGAAATCTCTAAAAGTAGCAAGATGCTTTTGCCTTCATATTGCATCAGATGAAATTATTGAGGATAGGTAAATGTCGGAATTGTATTACCAAAAACGAATCCTTTTTTTTTTTATTAATTACTATGCCTTTGTAGGTTTTGATAACAGAAAAATAGGTTTTGGTAAACTATTACTTTACTAATTGTGTAAATGTAATTACCCAGTGATAGGAGAATAATTTCAGAGAAAAAAAATATGTTTATTTGTTATCAAATGGATAAAAGAAAATGATGAAACATAACAATTGTAACCCAAAATATGATTTTTAAGAAAAAAATCTCCACTTTTTTAATAGCAATGGCAGAAATGCAAACATAAATGGGTGGAACGTTTCTTCAAAACAAGATGCAAACTAATGACAAAGAAGAAATGACATCCTTTTAAACAGTGAACCCCCCTTTATAGCTTTTATTTGAGCTTCTCTGCCATGAGTCTGATTTAATGCTCTTTCTTTCACTGTATAAAAAAGTACAAACAAAGCAAAACAGAGATCAGTGTACCCCAGGACAAGAATGCCATGGTTGAGAAGAGAGGGCACCTTGTATTTGTTGGACAACTGCAAGTAGTTAAATATTCATGCAACTTTAGAAACATCTCTGTGTAGATTTCTAGGCTAACAATACATTTTTATTCTTCATGAATATCAATATGATTCTCCACAGTCTGGTTAAAGTCTTTCTCCATGTAAATTAACAGATAGATAGATTTTTGTCATGAAATCTGTTGATAAATCATATCTTCAGTCTGTACAATAGAGGTACTAAAAATTACAACTGTCATGGTATATGTACATATACTACCTACAAAGTACAACAGATAGCGTGTAATAAAATATGTAAACAAATTTCTCATTTTTTCGGACACAGTTGACTGTGACAGCAGATAGAATTCACACTTTTAACATCTGGTTTATTTCTGTATACACATTTGTTAACAGTGTTGCAGTACTGCATCTGTGTTCTTCCTGACACCTCCATAGAAAAAGAGAATGATAGGCAATGAACCAACACACTTGTGCAGAAAGATAAAACCACCATGGTCTGTGCAGCAAGAAGAGATCTGTTAGAGAGGTTTGAGAGGAGAGGAAGTCCTGATCATAGATGTAGAACTGCCTTTGCGTGATCCAAATTGAAACTCTTTACTGGACTTTTACTGTACTGCACCTTACTGTGGAATCAGGATGGCATGCATTTTACAATCAGGCGCTTCTAACCAAGAGAACTGACAAATTCCTCCCACAAAGAGTGTCACTGTGTCCATCAGACAATGAGAATAATTGTGGTGAATTAGATGCCAGAGCAAACAGATGGTATGAGGTCTGCCCTTTGCAACTGGCTCACTTGGATTCATATTATACACATAAAATAGTTTTCTTTTATTATTGTTCTCTTTAAATCTTTTTTTCTTTTGCTTTAAGCAAAAATATGTAAGACACCACACTTATATTATGTATAAACCATAAAAATCTGTAATATTTTGATTACAAGTGTCCTTTGTGTGCCTGACCCCCTCTCGTTAAGCACTATTTGTTGCTTACATGCTGGAAACATTTACGATAATGAGCCTTTTGTAATTAACAATTTCACAAAAATTGTTTAATGCCAAGGATCACATAGCTCTAAAAGTCACTTAGGAGAATGATGCTGTGAAATATTTGTATACCGGCGACATGTCTCTGACCAGATAGAAGTGTAAGGTTTCTAAAGTTGCTATTTAACCTTGTCATTAAGCATTTTGCTTAATAGTAAGTGTGCTTTATGTTACAGCAAATATCAGTTCAACTATTCAGCACAGTACAGAATTTTTCAAGTTCCATGTTATACCATCATTTGTCAAAGCTCCTCACAGGGAAACTTGTAATAAATGTTCTCTCAGTGCCTTCTTACTCCGTTCTGTCGGGTTGACCAAAGTCTCAGTCACACATAATACTCCTTATCCTTGTTTTTCTGTCTCTTGTTGCTGCCTTTCAGGCTCTGTTGTTTGTCCTTCATGACAGCACCATTGCTCTGCACAGCCGAGTTGGTTATGTAGTGCCGGCTCTCGTCCACCTGGTAGGAGCCTTCATCCCTGTTCCTGTACTTATACATGGCGTACAGGAGGATAAGGATACACAGCGCTGCGGCCGCCACTATTCCGATGACCATCCCAGTAGTGCTGCTAGATTCACGGACCACCTCCGAGGGCCCTGGTACTCGCCTGACGCCTGGCTCTGTGGGGAGTGCTGTGGGTATATTATGGAACATGGCGGAAATCATTAATGGGCCCCTCTGCTTGCTGCTGTCTACCTCAAAGGATGTGGCAATAGAGGCAACACTAGATTGGGGCTGGGGTTTTAGCTCGCGGTTATTTGTTTTGCCGGAGAAGTGTGGAGGGCTGTGGTGGAGGCAGAGGTGGTAGTGGTGCGGCTCTGGTTGGCGGTTACTGGTATGGTGGTAGTCCTACCGCATCTGAAGATGGAAGGTTTGTTTTGTCTAAAAGTCCTGGGCGCATGTGCTTTGTAGTCACCTTGAAAGTGTGAAGTGGGTCTTAACAAGGAGAAGTTCGAGTGAAAATCTTCATCATCATCAGTGGGGGCAGGTAAGACTTCATCGCTTTCCCAGAGCCATACCCCGATATCACCAAGCCATCATCATCACAATCATCGCTGCCTCGGTCCGACAAGCAAGGTACCCCCGCCTCAGTAGCCTTGGACAAGGACTCTTTGGTGGTCTCAATAATGGTTAGGAGTGGGTGGTGGGTTGAGGGAGTGGGAATGGAGGGTGCACGGGGAGCTACAAAGGGGAGCTCTAATGGATCCTCATGTACTAATTCAGCTCCTGGAAGTAGAGAAAGATTTATTTTAGGGGTAAACACTGTTAAATCAAACATACCTTACAAAAGCGACATCCTAGAACATATGAAAAAAGGCTTAAGAGTTGAACTGGGAGCCAGAGGGATTAAATAAGCATTGCTGTCATTTAAGTGTGCTTCCAGTTATAAGCCTTTACTCTTTATATTTACAAACTCTTTTACTTCAGTTGGGTTTAAGGAAGGGGGACTACTTTGTAAGCATTGCCCTGAAACCTTTGCATAGGTTTAACCTCAAAATTAAGATTCTGTCTTTATCAATGTTTTAAAATGCTAGTTTGAGCAACTTTATAGGGAGACCCAGGGCTATAATTAATCACTTTTAACCTGTGTTTCTTTCACCACCAAAAATGTACATTAAAATCAACAGATAATTTTCATGATTTTGTAATTTGTTCCTTTTCACAATCATGGGGAAAACAAAGTTAAGGATCCAGTAGCTTGTAGAACCAACCCTCTCACGTGGAGGAGCAACTTTAATCCCTTTATTTTCATTAAAGTTTCTATGCCCCAGTCTGAGTCAGATGGCCTTATGTTAGACTTTTAGGTCATGGTTGACTTTTTCTTTTGCTACAAAATAACCTCAAACCACCAAACCTCCACAAAGCATGTTTGACAATTATCTCCAAACCTGAAGTTGTGGCTAAATATCTTTCCTTTGGCCTTATCAATCCAAAATAAATGTCTCTACAGGCATAATAGTTTAGTCAATAATCTAATATTTTTAGAGTTGAGTCTAATCCCTCAAACCTTCAACCAAACCTGTTTAGTCTTCAGTAGTCCTGTCATAAACATAAACATTTAGATTCTATTTAGAGAATCTTTGATTGAGCTCTTGATTTTGATCTTATTTGGCATATCTATGAGCAATGAAGACCTTGGTAATAAACTAGTCTGGAAATGGTCTCATAAACCTTTCGAGATTGATGAAAAGGAAGTATTGCTTCTCTAAGGACATTACTGATATATTTGCTTTTGGAAACTACTATCATTAAAAATCTCTGATGCTATAGGTTTTAATTCCATCCACAACAATGTTTGCATTTTTCTTCTTAAAAGACTTTTGAAGCAGTAGGGATGTATTAAATCTTTCCCAAAGGAAAAAAAAAAGATCAAAAGAACATGATATAGTAAAAGAAAAGAGCATTTTAAACCAGCTATTTTCTAATACTGGTCCTTAAACCATACTCTCTTGCATATTTTAGTTGCTACCCTGTTTCAGCACACCTGGTTTGAATCAGTGGATTCAATTACTAGGCCTTTGCAGGTCTAGATAACAAGCTGCTGGGGGACTTCTAACGCCCACAATCCCTCCACTCCCCCTGTACCTCTTACCCAACACCCCAAGGCTGGGAAAATGTCAGAAACAACTGAATGTAATTATTGTAAAACCAATAGCAGCATTGCTACTTTGTGGCTCCCAGGTCATCTCAAACCTCTTGACTTCTTAATGTCACATACATAGTATGCAAGTGCAGAGCTGCATCTTGAAGATGGTAAACCCTTCATTAGTTCTATGAAATAAATCTGATCAAATTCCAGATTTCTAAGTCAAAAGTAGCAAACAAGTAGTATGGCATTTATTCTTTAGAATAAATATATATTTGGAAAATTCTTTGGCTTTGTTGAAAAGCGTGTGTTATCAATATTCCAGTAAATTTGTGCTGTTAATTTGTGTAATTTGGCCATTTTGTATTAAAACAAAGGCTGGCAGAGAGTCATTGGAAAAGCCTGAAAGTGGGCCCTGTTGTAATAACAAAAAAGTCCTCAACATAGAAGTCTCCTTAGATGGCATTAAGAGTTTTCCACATGACATAGAACTTTGTCATGTTTGTGTTAAAGTTTTTTAATAACATTTCTGTAACCAGAAGCAGCTCTTTCACTAAAACACTTTTTTTTATGTTTTTTTCTTAAAATTTTGAGTGTGGCTCCTAAATGTTCAAACCTTATGAAACAGCACAATAAATTATACATTTGTTCTTTTATTCAGGCGCTGTTGGAAATTTCCATAGGGCTTCTTTTCCTTTATGCACACATGGGTCAAAAAGTTAGAATCCTAATGATGCCTTTCAAAATTCTGCTCATACTTTGGTTAGTTTTATTATTTTTTCTTAGATGGAAAGGCTGTTGGTTTCATTTCTTTTGATTTCTTGTTATGAGGCATAACAGAAGGATGAAGGTAATGGGTTGGCAGACTGGAGCTTCTAATGCATTAATGAGGCAGTTGCTTATCTGTCTTTGTAAAAGACCAGCAGAAATAAAAAAATTGAGCTCAAAATGTACTTGTCTGTAAATGTTCAAACCCTCACCTATCCTCATTAGATATTGAAAATAGCTGAAAGAACAAGATGAAAAATACAAAACTCTAAAAAGAGATTTATCCATAGGGAAGACAGGCTCTCCTTTAGGTATTAGCTAAGGTAAGGGGCTCATTTATTCATGTTTAGCTTCAGGCAGTCATTCAAATCCACAGGACTTGGCCAAGCTGCTTCTAGGCAACTTTGCCCCTACCTTAAACTCACGAGAGGAAGTTTACAGTAACCACCTGCTTTTTTAGGCTTATCTTGCATTTAGACTATGCCAGACTACCAAAGACCGACTCAAAGTATCACGAAAACAAAAGTATGCCTTTTTAAATTGGTTATCATCATATTTTGATAAGACTGTGTGATTTGTAACCTTAGTTCCCTGTTTTTTAGTTGATGGGAGGGGCATAGTGAGCTGCTGTTTGAAGGTTCCACATGATGTAGGTTCAGAGATTGTTTTTCACACCATGGTTGTAAAGATTGGTGATGGGAGCAACAGTTGTCTTTTTATCATCTTGACACAGTCTATGTCTGTAGTTCAATTGTGACATTAACAAGGCAGTTGCTTCTCATTTCATGTTTTTGGGACAATGTTTATTAAATCCAAGAGCCACCTCTTTTCTACTAGCAGTTTGTGAAATACTCCACAAACCTGGCTCGCACAAACTGCCCTAACAAACTCTTTCTTTATAGTCTGATGTTTTATGTAAATTTCAGCAAGTGGTCTTTACATAATTGAGATAGATGCCCTAATGCCATCTGCCTCTTCTGGTTTCTCTTTTCAGCCTCTAACAGCTAAGATCCACTGTTTTTGTAAGCCAAAACCAATGGGGGTGTCTTATTAAGAATCCAACTGGAAATTCTTGCCAATTACACCTTGTTGCTTTTTTTTTCTTTCATTTGTAAATGCCGAGGGTTGCATAACATAAATAAACATCACTTATAATTATCGTGGGCCCCATGCTGTTATCATTGGAGTGAACATTCAATGGGCCACCAACTCATTTATATGAAAAGTATCCACTGTGATTTAGGATGCTCCTTTAGAGTTATTCATGCAAATTAACACCTCAAACAAAACATTTCTTCACACATAGCAACCAAAAACACATCCAATTACAGGCACACAACTCCTAATTTAAACAAAGGCCTTTGTGTCATTTCAAACTCAAATGAGGATTCATTAGCAGTAACATGACCAGACATCCATCAAAGATGCAGTCTGTAAGCTTTCAACAAAAGCTTGACACAACCAGCTTCGTCATTTGATTTTAGTGCGAGACGTTATAAACCTTTTGAATTATTTCGGTTTACAAACTGCATCTCAAACAAGCACCACAAAGAGAATCAGAACATGCACGTTGTGTCATTAACTTACGTCAACAATTTGCCCGCATGATTTTTAGGCAAGAGGAGAAGAATTTACAAAGGAAAATTGCATAAAAATGTAGTCACTTGGTATGGTTAAAAATCATTTTTATCCATGTTAGAATGGATCCTATCTTAAAACAATGAAGGTACAGGGAGGCAACAGCACATACATCCACACCACATAACAGAAAATAAACACCATATTTCTGCTTTTTATCCTTTGTTTCTCTTTCCTTGTAAATAATTTATTTTTCAACAAAAAAATCAGCATTTTTTTCATATCAAGAGACTTCAGTGAGCCTAAAATCTATCCATCTTACAATTTTTGCTTAATTTGCTCTTTAGTGTAGAATGGATGGATGAATTTATATTTTAATATTTCTAAAGACAAGGGAGGAGGTGAAGAAGGGGTTGGACCTATGAACATACTACAGAGGAGATGAGGATGATGAAGGTGACAGTGTAAGTCAGTTGCCATGTCCATGTAAAGGCAGTACGAAGCGGTTGGGCGGCATTAGAGCTTTCGGCTGTAAGGAAGGGATGGGGATATACAAACAATGAGCAATATACATGCCCATCTACAGAAAAGAACAGAAGAACTCTAACACTGACATGTCTTACAAACCCTAAACTGCAACTTCTTAGCCATGCAATTCCCTTTTTTATTTTCTTACAATCAAGATACACTACCTGACAAAAACAGTGACCTTCCCAGAAGAAGTGGTCGGATTGGGATCTCATTTGTTTCACACACAGAACTTCTGATGGGAATGCAAATAATTACATTCACAACCAGTAAGTATGTCAGAGAATGTAAGGGAGGGAATCTAAGAGTGAAGTGATTCAGGCAGGTACCCAAGCAATCAAATGTCAGTCAGAACAGGAAGTTAGGGTCAGCAGCCAGAAAGGATGCCCTTCAGACTACTTAGATGGGGTCTCAATGTCAATTTGCATGAAGCTGACGGATGTACGAGGATTAAACTATTTCACATTTATTTTCTTGAAACTGATGGGCAAACTAAAAGCATCCAAAAGCTAAGAAAGCCAAAGATAAAGTCCTTGTACCGAACAACAAACAATAAAACAAAACAAATTTGTTGATATCTGAAACTTTGATTTGCCCACAGGCAGTAACATAACTGCACAAAACGTATGAAAGACTTTTGTACAGTACTTGTGCAGCCTGGTACAGCAAAAACTTAAACAGATAACAATACTGTTAAAGGTCAGGTTACGAATTTAAAGTAATTGCATAATAGACTACTATTTCAAGCATTAGTTAAAGACCTAAA